ATATAATTTGTTCTTATTTTCCTCTTTGCTCTCTGAAATCATGTTCCAACAGTTGATGTCAAATCTTTCATTATTTGTTTAGTCCTACTCTACAGCCATAGCGTTTACATAACTATTGGTCTCCCAAAAGAAATAACTTCACCATCTAAAGTAAAGAATATTTTTTTTTGTCTCTTGTCATGCATGTTGAAATAAATTTCTGCTATATAGATTAATATCACAACCCCCCCTTGGAATTTCATTATGTTATTTGGAGTGCATGTAATTCTCTTGCTAAAGATATGTATTCGATCCTGATATTCCCCACCTTCCAGCTGATTTTTGAAACATGTTGATACATTAGTGTTTATAATCTCTGCTACAATGTATACTAACATGTATTGCAATTACTTACTATTGCATGTGTAGCACTACATACCATTTCATAAATATGCTAGCCTGTTGATTTTAGCTGTCTAAAGATGTAGAAAACAGAGTTTCCTTTACTTTGATCTTTCTATGTATTCATTTTTTATGTATGTCTAGGCTTTTAATATTTTATATTCTTCCTTACTAAGAACATATTGCAATTTCTTTCAGATATTTTGATATTTTAGTAATAGGTTCTCTTAGATTTTAAGAAACTATATATCTAACTTTTAAGGATACTTCTATTAGTTACTTATCTATTGTTGTGCTAGTACATCATGTCCAAGATAACTTATGAGATAAAACATTTAATTTAGGGCTTATGATTATACAGGGTGAGAGTTTATGACTATCATGGCAGGGAGCCTGGCCACATGCAGTCAGGCAGTTATGATATTGAGGTAGTAACTGAGAGCATACATTTGATACAAAAGTGGGAAGGAGAGAGAGAGAGAGAGAGAGGAAAAGAGAGAGAGAGATGTTAGATCCCCCCTGTATGGTGTGAATATGTTTTTTTTCCCATTGGTTAATAAGGAAGATGCTTGATCCTACAGCAACACAAAATAGAATAAGGTGGGAATTCCAAGAAGAGATAAAAGAGAAGAGTAGGTGGAATCAGAGAGATGTCATCTAGCTGCCAAAGGAAAAACATGTGAACCTCCAGGCAGAAACTTACAGGTAGACCATGGCCTTGTGGTGATTCACAGATTAATAGCAATGGGTTCATTTAAGATGTAAGAGAGAGCTTGGGGAGTGGGAGGGTGGAGATGGAGGAAGGGCAGATATAGGAGCAGGGAAGAATATATTTACATTAAAGGAGCCATTTTAGGGTTGACAAGAGACTTGGTTCTTGAGGGGATCCCAGGTGTCCACGGGAATGTCCCCAGCTAGGTCCTTGGCAGCAGAGTAGAAGGTGCCTGAACTGGCCTTGCCCCACTATCATATTGATGGTTATCGCGAATATCACCATAGAATCTTCATCCTTCACGGATGGAGATAGAGACAGTGACCCTCATCAGAGCAATGGACTGAGCTCTCAAGGTCTAGTTAAAGAGCAGAAGGAGGGAGAAGATGAGCAAGGAAGTTGGTCCACCCACTGAGACAGTGTGCCTGTTCTAATGGGAGCTCACCAAATCCAGTTGGACCAGGACTGAAAGAGCATGCTATCAAACCAGACTCTTCAAATAAGGCTTACAATGGGGGCTGACTGAGAATCCATTGATAAAGGCACTGGGACTTGTTTCTACTGCATGTACTGGCTTTTTGAGACCCTTAGTCTATTTGGATGCAAAGCTTCCTAGGCCTGAATGTAGTGGGGAGGGCCTTGGACTTCCCACAGGGCAGGGTTCCCTGCCCTCTATTAAGGAGGGAGGAGGAGGGAGAAGGAAGAGTGGGGGAGGGGAATGGGAGGAGAGGAGGAAGTATAAATTTTTGAATGGAAAAAATAAAAAAATACGAAAAAAGAAAAAAGAATATCAGAGTAAAAAGATATTTTACGTTGTTAGTTAAAAATCAGTGAGTAGTGAATAAAAGATTGGTATTTTAAAATAAATGAAACTTCTAACTGAGAAAAACATCTTAAGCAAAATCAAATTTTGGTCAGCAAAAAAGAATGTTTGTAACTTAGATCACAGACAAAAGTCTAAACTTTTCAATTATATGAAGAGCTCCTAGAAATAAGTAAGAAAAAATAAATCAAGAAAACCAGGTAAATATTGATAAAAAGAATACAAAAAATAATTAGTAGTGACTTAAAAATGAATAACATTCTAATTTTAATAAGAAGTAAAGTCAAATTGCCCTGGGAAAACATTTTTCTCATATCAGATTAGTAAGAACTACTTACAACTGTGATGATTTATTATATTGATTACTACATGGGGAAATATTTTCATGTGCAGTTGATGCAGAGGAAATTAGCTCAATTTCAATGAATACCCTTGTCTAGTAGACAGCAAATACACACAGCCATTGACCTTACAATTGAAGTTCTAGTAATTTATCCTACAGATAGATTAGAACATCTACAAAATATATTTACTAGGTTAGTTGTTGCAACTTTAAGATATTATAAACTTTGGGAGGCCGAGGCAGGCGGATCTCTGTGAGTTTGAGGCCAGCCTGGTCTACAAGAGCTAGTTCCAGGACAGGAACCAAAAAGCTACAGAGAAACCCTGTCTCGAAAATCCAAAAAAAAAAAAATATTATAAACTAAACTTGCATCAGGTGAGAGTAGTTATACTATGATTCATTTGGACACTAGAATATAGGGCATCTATGAGTGGCTAGACGGGGAATGAAGTATATTGAATGCTTAAAGAACGCGTATTGCGTTTGTGTGTCTTTGTGATTGTGTCTGTTTGTGTGTTTGCATGTGTGTCTGACACTCTACTTGAAGCTTGTTTTCTTCTTGGCAAAACTGGCCTTTAAGCAAAAAACCTGCCCATGCATTGACCACTGACAAAATGCACTGTGTCCGGACTGGACAAACCTGATTTAAAAAAAAAAAAAAAGACTGCCAAACTTTTCCAAGACAGAATAATATGATTTTGACAATTTTCCTGCCTCTAAAAATGGTAGCCAGTTTTCTCTGTCATTTTCTGTGCATTTTCAAAGCTGCTTGATTGCACTTGCTACCTTGCTGTCTACTCAAGTAATATCATCTTCCTTCTCAGGTCTTCAATGGTGTAAAAAAAAAAAAAAGACAGTCGTAGTTACTTTCTTCTTATGACTTAATCAAGCCATTTATAATATGAGACTTAGACTCCTTAGGTTAAAATAATTATTAAAACATTTAACATGTGTTTCTTGCTTAGTACTGTCTATGCTAGTTCTAATTTTTATACTTGATATGTGTTCTTATTGTATATAGTTTTGTATTAGGTTTGGAACTCTCCAATTTAGACAAAAGGGGGAGGTAATAGGGAACCTCCTTCAGCCAATGGCCTTTAAGAGGCTGGTTGAGCGTGGTTTGGGGTACTAAAAAGGGGATGTTCTATTGGGATCTCACCAAGGCCAGCTGGCCTAGGTCTGAAAAAGCATGGGATAAATCCAGACTAGCTGAACATAGCGGACAATGAGGAATACTGAGAACTCAAGAACAATTGCAGTGGGTTTTTGATCCTACTGCACGTACTGGCTTTGTGGGAGCCTAGGCAGTTTGAATGCTCACCTTAGGAGACCTGGATAGAGGTGGGCAGTCCTTGGGCTTCCCACAGGTCAGGGAACCCTGATTGCTCTTCGAGCAGATGAGGGGGGGGGGACTTGATCGGGGGAGGGGGAGGGAAACTGGAAGCGGTTGTGGGGACGAGGCAGAAATTCTTAATAAATAAATAAATTAAAATAAAAAATAAAAAATAAAAAATAAAAAAAAAAAAAAAAAAAAAAAAAAAAAAAAAAAAAAAAGGTCTAGGCTCGCATGCCTGCCCTCTCTCTCCTCTCTTCTCGATGTTGGATTCAGTTCCTATTCCCTGTTCTTGCAGAGGACTATGATCTGTGAGCCCCTCTTAAATAAAATACCCCTTATTATACTTAAAAAAAAGAGTTATCTATAAAAATGCATGAGCTAATTGGCCAAACGGTGTTGTAATTAATAAAGTTTCTGTATGACGATTTTTGGTATTGGTGGTTGTGAAACAAATCAGCAGTCTATGCCTACAAAATAGTATCTCTGCCTATGAGAAAGAGAGGCCTCTTTTCCTGCATGCAGCTTCCAGAGATTGCTTGGATCTGACTGCTTCTCCTGCAGGTCACTTGGGCCTGCCTGATGCTCTTGGACACTGTTCAGGCCTTACTTTCAAATTTTTAATTTGAATTTTTGAAAATTTTATACATGAATATGCTGAATTTGAATGATTTCTACAATTCTCTCCCCCCTTCCAACTCTTCCTATGGCTTTCTTGCCCCTCTCTAAATCTTGACCTCTTATTCTATAATCAGCATCTTATATGAATTATATGTGTACACCAACAATCTAGTGGGTCTAATTAATGTTTCTACAATATAAGTGTTTAGGGATGACCATTTAGGTTTTGTAATATATATAGTTAAAATTAGTTTGTCCAAAATTCAAATTGAATACTACATAGAACAAAAATTGACAATCAAGAGCCATGTTGTGCAAAGTGATGTCTCAAATAAATTTCTGAGTAAAGGACTCTAACTAAACAAAGAAGCAAATTGGTTCTCCCCCACTTACATACACTAAGTACAGACAAATAGAGTCCATGTTCTTGGAGACAGCGACATTGATTGAAAACTGGAGAGCACAGCAGTTAGAAATGAAGACAGAAGTTTCTTGACTGGTCCCTGGGTTATGGTCCTGAAAGCCCTGCCAAACTGAAGCTCCCCAATGACTTTTAAAAGAGCCTTCACTGCTTTCTGTTGTGTGGTTATGAAACCCAGAAGTGATCACCAGCCCCTGCTCCTCACATTCCGAGAAACCTGAACTTGTTTCCAAAGAAAACAAGCTGGCATTTACAATAATAATCAGCAGGTCACAGGCAGGCACAGCAAGGGCAGGGATCAAACACTCAAGCGGCTAAACTTGTAGTCTATGTTTTTAGTTTACTTTGCAGAAGTTGCTGGGGAGCAGATCATTTAGTGATCCTGATTTCCTAAGCTGACTTTCAACTTCACTTTGGGGCAAGTCTTTCCCTGCAGTAAGGACAGTTCTTAACAGAGACTGGTGGTGCTGTACTTCTCTGCCTCCAAGAAAGATCCAAACCATGGGACTATCAGCAAGAATTATCTGGCTTATGTTATGGACTGTTTGTGTAGCACAAGGTAAGTTTTAAACAGATTGCCTTTCTCCATTCTGGCTGAGCTGCACTCTATAACATTTGGAGATAATAATTCTCATAGCAACCATTGAAATAAAGTCTACAAAATGTGAAGGAATTACTGGTCTGTAACTTAATGGCCTTTGGTGCTAAGTTTAAAGGTTGCAAGCAGTTCATTTGATTGCCATAATTGATGGTTCCTCCCAATGTAAAACACAAACAGTCCTTGAAAAATGTTTTTGCAAGTAATAGTTCGGTATAATCATTTAGCTTGTAGTCATCATGAAATACAAACCCCTTTTTTGTATGAGTGTCCCTGAAATACTTCATGTAAAACAAGTGAGAAATATGTAAATATCTGTACTTAGTGAAAACTTTTACAAATTTTTTAGGGAGTGAATTTATTTTAGGCATAATTCTTTTTATGGCATTTCTTGATCATGGTTTGTCTTTTTTTCTGCTTTGTGTTATCTTTTTAAAATTCTTTTTTATTGTTTTATTGAGCAGTATATTTTTCTCTGTTCCCCTCCCTGTCTGTCCCCTTCAACCCTCTCCCAAGGTCCCCAATGCTTCCAATTTACTCAGGAGATCTTGTCTTTTTCTACTTCCTATGTAGATTATCCATGTATGTCTTTCTTAGGGTCTTCTTTGTTATTTAACTTCTTGTGAATTGTAGGCTGTTTTTTTTTTTTGCTTTATGTCTAAAAGTCATTTATGAGGGACCACATAAGATATTTGTTTCTCTGGGTCTTGGTTGCCTCACTCAATATGATGTTTTGTAGATCCATCCATTTACCTGCAACTTTCAAGATGACCCATCACTTACAACTGAGATTGCCATGACTTTAAAGTTTGATACATAAGAACGGCATGTATGAAACTAAAGTGGTTATAAAATTTGACACATAATCTTTATATGACATTTGTAAGATCTTATGTATTTGGTTTCTGTTTTCCCAAGAGTGTATATGGAACATATACCCTTGTGAAATTCTTTTGTGGCCTGTATAATGTGAGTGTGAGAGCTCTTCCCCCATGTCAAAAAGAGAAGTTCCAACTCTATCATTGAGTTAAATTCCATCAAAATAATATGCTTTATTCAATGAAGGGGTTCACTTTTCTAGTACATAGTGATGTGACAAGCATTCAATTGACTTATTTTTGTTGTTCTGGATTTTAAAAATAGGGTGTTGTAATGTAAGACACCAACTCAAAAATCCTGTTTGCAATTGCTTTAAACATATGCCCTAGATCAGCAGTGGAAAAGTACAAAACTTGCAAAACAGCCCTGAGTGCCAAAACTTGCACCCTGACCATGGTACCCTGCACCACCAGCCTGCCAAGAAACACCTAGCACCCATGATAGGGCTTGGGGACTTTCCAGTACAGGGTTTGGGGTTTTTATGGCATATCTGGGAAATAGAAGGAACAAATAGCTATGGCCTAAAACGGACCCAAAATGCTAAATGTTGTATCCAATTGTTTTGTATCTTATATCCATTATTTTAATGTTGTGGATTTTACCTATAAAAACTTGCTGGAATTGCTGTTCGGGCGGGTTGCTCTGCCTCTTTGGAGACTAGAGACATCTGGTCACGTGATCCTTAATAAACCCTCTTGCTTCTTACATCTGCTGGACTGGTTAATTGGGCCGGGGGACTTCTCTCTCTTGGGCCTTCACCCAGTGGGTGAGGGTCTTTCACTAACACTCTGCTTTGTCCATAAACTCACCGTAATCCTGTGTCAGCCCTCTATGTGCTGAGGTTACAGGTCCTAGTAACTTGACTTAGCACTTGTTATATCAAGTGAATAACGCAATGTTAATCATTTTTCCAGATGTTTCACTTAGCCAACACTTTGCAGTTTGAGCCTTTGCTGTGGCCTCTACTCACTGAAGAATATTAACAAACAAGCTCTAACTGGACACGTACCTCTCTAGACAAGAAAGACAGATATGGTTTCTCAGTTATATCTTTTAATCAAGTTCCATAAATTTGTTGAATATTTTTGAATGAACTTTTCAATTATATTTTGTAATATTATTTTTTGAATTTTAGCTTATAAGTCTTATATTCAGATACCGTTTAGACTAAAGCATTCATTTTCATATAAATGAAAATATAAGTATTATTAAATATAAGTATTATTATTAAAATGAGATATGATTATATTGGCTAAGATTTCTAAAGCAGTGTTGATATTATTAACTATAACTCAACCTTTTTTCTTGTCATAAGTCAATGTTTTGGTCTTTTACATTAATGGTCTATGTTCATACAGAGATATTTTTGAAGGTATATATTATAAACAAATATCTATTTTATTTTTAACTAATTCTTAAATCTTAAGAAATTATAGAAATTAAATCAAGCTTTTATATAAACACTAAGTGGAATTTAAATATTATAAGGAAGTACCCTCCAATTTACATGAAAAATTAATGTTAATGATTTAAAATCCTCATACCATGGATTCCAGCTGATTTTCTTGTTATTGTTGGATATGATTTTTCATCATTATGTATTGAAATGCGGTGCTCGTTCTTACTTGTGAGCTGGGCTGCACTATCCACATTACTGTTCCAAGGGCTTTACAGTAAGAGATGAAGGAGTTTAATATTAAAAGCATTATGTAGAGTAACCTTATGATATTCACAAATTCACACAATGAAGAGACAGGTGTGAGAAGTTTCATGGACATTCAGTGGACACAGAGCTCCCTCTTCATTCTTAGCTTGGCTAGTAGCCTGGGTCTGTCTGAAAAGTAAACAATTTCAACAGTCTGTCAACTTAACAGGAATTCCCCCATGCAACAGAACTTGAATCAATTAAAATTGTTACATATATGCTTCAATAGTTTCGATTGTTTCTTTTTCCAACATCAGACACTGGCTACTGGGCTGATTAAAAAAATGATTGTGAAATGCTACCCTAATGCTTTCCTAAGCCTGGAAGAAGAGGCAAGCATTTCATAAATCACTTCTGCTTTGATAAATATCAACATTCTTCCAAAACCAAGATTAACTGGACCAACAGGAAGGCTGAACTGGTTAATGAACTTTCTTGCAACAGAATCTGACTACTTGAGTTAAATCCATGGAACCTACAAGGTGAAAGCAAGAAAAACACCTTCTGCAGGCCATGTTCCAGTTTCCATAGGCAAGCATGGCCACAGGATATCACACCTGCCCATATTAAAAACAAAAAAGAAAAGTACAAATTTAACAAAAATTTTAAAAGGGAAGAACTATGAACCTAGCTTTGTCTTTGTCCTCGCTTTTCCATATGTCAAGGCTGCCTAATATATTTTTAGTATAGGACCTGCCTGTGTTTACGCTCCTAGCTCCTGGGAACTTTAAATGCTGATTCTTGCAAAATCACATGCTGTTCAGATTGGGTAAGATTTACAGGACAACCTGTAACATAAGAGTTCCTTAATTAAGCTGTGTAATTTCAGTTCTGGAGAATGGATTATACCCAAGTTTTCCAAGCACACATTTTACCCTCACAATTGGATATTGTGTGAAATTGTCCACAGCCCAAAATTACTGAAACAAACCAATTAAATTTGTGCAGAATCACAACCAAATAACCACTGCAGACTTCCAGGGGAGATAAGTGTTCTTTGATCCTGGAGGTCTAAAGAACAAAAACGTTCTTTTAGGCTTCAAGATTTTAATCATAGAATGGAGAATTCATTTAATTCTATATTATGTTATTTTAAGTGTAAGATGTTTTCAAGTTTAATTTGACTTTGATTTAGAAAATTTGATCTTACATATATTAATTATGAATTAATAATAGGTACCCTTTAGAGATTAGAAGGAAAAGTTATTTATGCTTTTATTTAAAATGCTATGATAAATGGCAAAATGTTAACTGTGATGTAAACTATTTTTTTCCTTAAGAAAAAGAATTTATATGGAAAGTGCTCATACTTTTTCTTTCATTCTATGTTCACAGTAGTGTAGAGTTTGCCCCATCTTTTTTTTTTCTATTTTCGAGACAGAGTTTCTCTGTGTAACTTTGGCACCTGTCCTGGATATAGCTTTATATGCCAGGCTGGCCTCAAATTTACAGAGACACACCTGCCTCTGTTTCCTCAGTGCTGGGATTAAAGATGAGGACTGGTTACAATAATATACTCAATAAATTGGTCATAAAAAAAAACAAAAACAGATAATCTAATTTAAAAATGGGGTAGACCTAAACAGAGAACTCCTCAGCAAAGGAATCTAAAATGTCTGAAAGATTATTGATAAAATGCTCAACATCCTTAGCCGTCAGAGAAATGGAAATCAAAACAACTTTGAGATTCCATCTTACACCTGTAAGAATGACCAAGTTCAAAAACACTGATGGGAACTTATGTTAGAGAAGATGTGGGGTAAAGGGAACACTCCTGTATTTCTATTGGTAGTGAAAGCTGGTACAGCCCCTATGGATATCAGTATGGCTATTTTTCATAAAATTAGGAAACAATCTTCTCTAAGATCCAGTAATACCACTTTTGGGTATATACCCAAATGATTCTTAATCATATCACAAGTAGATGTGCTCAACTATGTTCATAGCAGCATTTTTAGTTATAGCCAGAACCTGGAAACAACCTAAATGCTCCTTGACCAAAGAATGGATAAGGAAAATGTACATTTACACAGTGGAGTACTCCACAGAAGAAAAAAATCGTGACATCTTAAAAACTGAAAGCAAATGGATGGATCTATAAAACATCATATTGAGTGAGGTAACCCAGACCCAGAAAAACAAATATCATATGTACTCACTCATAAGTGGCTTTTGACATAAAGCAAAGAAAACCAGCCTAGAATTCACAATCCCGGAGAACCTAGACAACAACCTGGACCCTGAGAAAGACATACATCGATTGAATTTACATGGAAAGTAGACAAAGATAAGATCTCCTGAGTAAATTGGGAGTGTGGGTATCATGGGAGAGAGTAGAAGGAAAGGGGAGAGGAAGAAAGGGGATCAGAGAAAAATG